GTTGGCACCAACGTTGCACTTCTGCATTCACCTCTTTGGCGACATGTACATGGTCATTATGGACTACGTCGAAGGCACCTCACTCTACTTTACACAGGAGGAGCTTCGGGATCGCGAGAAGATATACAACGACGTGGAGAGGGCAGTCAAACTGCTACACGAGCAAGACCTTGTATTCGGCGACCTCCGAGTCCAAAATATCGTTTCTAGACCGGATGGAGGTGCTATGCTGATCGATTTTGACTGGGTTGGCAAACACAAGGAGAGTAGATATCCAGCATCTTGGAACACTAATATAGTATGGGCTCCAGGTGTAGAGCGGCGGGCACTAATGGACAAAGTACATGACTCTTTTATGCTGGAGAGGTTGAAGGCATTCTTAAAAATTTAGTATATTTGTTTATATTAGTTATAAAAGTATGTTAACAAAATTATCAGTTTAACAAATAAAGTTGTTTCTGATTGTACTTTTTGATGCATATTTGTTAAATGTAAACTTGTTATTTTAATCTAGTATTTCTCTTTTATGTGTTTTCTTTACTGCCTATAGATGAACATGTAGGACTAAAATTATATAACAGTACATACTAAGGACTCACAGTACTACCAAATGAAATGTTGCTTGCTGGTGGTCTGATATCTTATTATGTAAGATGTGGGAAGTAGTCCAAGGCTCCAAGTCAGGATGGATGCTCTCTAGAGTCTCTACAGACTATGTGATACAGAAGCTGAAGCAGTTGTAGACAGTTTCCTGTACTGTAGTTCTGTATTATGATAGTAACAACACAGCTTTCCAGATATCTATTATTTGTAACTCAGACTGTTATAGCCTATTAGGATTCAGGAGTCAGTTACAGACCCTGTAGTGCTAATACATGTCACAGGCAAGTTGAGACTCTGACTGTTTCATTACCTTAGCTAACCAGTGTATTAGTTTAACTTTAAGATAAGTAAAGTAACACACTCTATAATGCCCAATCTATCCAGGTTTGATATTTTTAACAAGTGTAGCAGGAGTGCCCTGAACTCTCTCTCTTTTTTTGAGTGTCTGCCTTATATACTATATAGTAAAGTCTAATAGTCTGAGACATTCTAAGTACAGTAACTCTACATAAGGCAATTAGGGATTTCCTAATCCAGAGTACAATCTAATACTCCCCTTCAAGCATCAATTAAGAACTAGGACTGTATGCCTAATAGTTTGTTTAGATGCTTGATCTGTAGGATGTAGAGAGCTTTTGTAAGGATGTCTGCTAATTAGTTCTGTGATTGAACATAGTATACATTAATGTAATCATTTTGAATGTAACATTGTACAAAGTCTTTTTGTAAATCAAGGTGTTTAGTACAAGCATTGTATGTTATTTTGTCAGACTTTACAGTCTGTAGTACCTCTTCAGCAAATTGTTTGAGCCAAATGGCTTCTTGAGTAGTATACACTAGTGCTTGTAACTCTGCTTTGTAAACAGATAGTAGTACTAGGTTTTGTTGTTTGCTTGACTAGGATATGGTTGATTTAGCTAATTGAAAGATGTAGCTGTTTATTACTTTATGTCCTTCTATCATTTGTCTGTCTACATCACAATAGCCTTATAGTTTTAAGGCATTCATGCTTCCAAGTTGAAGCCAGTAATTCATTGTATATTTTAAATATGTAAAGCAATGTTTCACTACTTTGTAGTAATGTGTTTAGGGCTTTTGTAAGTAGTATGCTAATTGCTTAGTAATATAAGATATGTCTGACTGTGTGCAATCTGTAACATATCTTAACAATCCTACCATATTCATGTATAGTGTTGTTTCATTATTACTTTTGTTTGTATTGTACATATTGTTTGTATTATTAGATAGATCTATTCTAGGAGTAATAGGCATTTGTAGTGCCTTTTTGTTTTCAAAGTGGTAACACTTGATTATACTTTCAATATAATGCTTTTACTGTAAGCTAATTGTTCTTTAAGGTCTATCTTGGCTTATTTTAATACTAAGTAACTAATGTATTTTGTTACTGTCAGTGAATACAATGTATTGTCTTAATGCATGTTTAAATGCTGTTATTATAGTAATAGTTTTGCTAATAATTGTAATATTGTCAATGTGTATAAATGTTACATGAATTGTTTTATTATTTTGTTTCTTATAAAATACAGTGTGATTGTAATTAGCTTGTTCTAATCTAATCTTAAGTAGTAGTTCAGTAATCTTCTTATACTATTGTCTACCTGCTTGTTTCAATCTGTATAACACTTTATTTAAGTGTAACACCTGTCCAGGTTTAATATCTGTAAGTAGCTTGCCTGGCAGTAGTTTCACATAAATGAGTTTGTCCTCATTTAGTTCTCTGTAAAGATATACAGATTTTACATCTATCTGATGTATTTTGTAGTTCTTAGATACTGTCTAAGATAACAATAATTGTACTGTTGATAGTTTTGTTACTAGGGCAAATAAGTCATCAGAATAAAAGTCTATTCCATTCTTTTGAGTGTATCCTTGTACTACAAATTATGCTTTGTATTTGTCTATTTGGCTGTTAGCCAGTCTTTTGATTTTATAGACAAAATTTGTTCCAATTATATTTGTATTAGTAGGGGGGATAGTATATATCTATGTGTTTCATTGTTGAAGTGACTGTATTTCATCCTTCATAGCTTTGATCCATTGTTCTTTGTCTATGTATGTTATAGTATTGTAATACATTAATGGATTGTTATAAATTTTGTTGAGGAATTTGTTAAATTCTGTTAGATACATAACTAGGTTTATATTGTCTTTGTAATTTAAACCTATAGTTTGTTTAGCCAGTCTTTGCTCTTGTGTAGAGTGTTGTATGACAGGTTCTTTATCTTTATTATTGTTATTAGGAAGAGTTTTATCATTGTTTGATGTATCACTGTTATGATTATTCTCCCCTTCAATTCTAGACATTGGTTTGTCTATGAATTGTACATTGTGTTCAACAGTAACTTTATTATTATAGCACACTAAGTGACCTTTACTGTCAGTATCATAACCTAGCCATTGTGCATATTAGCCTCTAG